CACGCTGCTTGTACAAATAAAGCAAGCGGCACAAGGAACCATCCTCTTTCTTCCCCACCAGTCTGAAAAGCTGGAAACATTGGGGAACTCTGCCTTAAAAATATATTTAAAACATTTTTTAAGGTTTTGAAATTCTTTTACTTAAGAGATGGAATTTTCACTCTTGAAAGCTTATGGCACTTAATTTTGCCCCTTAAATTCCCCTCAATTAACATAAACAGTGCCCCCAAACTGGGGGGGGGGAAATGGCCTTACCTTATTCAGTTGTACTTTCAGGAACTGCATGAAGGCTGAGGGTTGTCCATAAGCTCTGGAAAATTAGACATTAAAAATCTCATATTTATCATCAAATTGCTTACCTTGATAATTAAAGTACTGTACACATACACATTGCATTTTTGTGATCCTTAGGTAATGGCCTTGGCTGTCACAGATTCCTTCTTATTCTAGCTGTTATCTCTTCTCTTGATAATCTAATAGAGACTGTACCATTAGAAAAGCTAGTGTATATTTCAGAGTAATATATCACACTTTTTCCCCCCATAAAAAGAGGGTGAAAATCTGGGTGTGTCATACCCTGAATACAACACTTTTTGGCCTTTTGAAACTCCACCCCCATGCATCCCGTTTTTTGCAAAAATGGATGTGCAGAGGGTTTGGGAAGCTTGCAAAGTGCTCCTGGGGGCTGGGGAGGGCAAAAATGAGTGAAAAAGAGGCCATTTTTTGCTTGTTTTCCCCTCCCCTCCAGCCCCCAGCAGCATTCTACAAGCCTCCCAAAGTCTACCCATGCGCTGTGTTTTGTTTTGTTCTGTATTTTGCAAAAAGCGAGGCATGCAAAGGTACAAAAACTTTTTTTTTAATTTACCTCTTCAAAATCTTGGTGCATCTCATACTCTGGTGCGTCTTATAGTCTGAAAAACACGGTAATATTAAACAATAACCCCATTGACACAAAAACAACTAAGATTTAGGAAAGGGAATGTATTATACCAGAACACTGGGAAGAAAAGATCCTGATAAAGTTGCTGAATGGATTCAGACAAGTATTTCCATCACTAAGAAAAGAAACTTACACCAGCAAAAGCTTCTTAAAGGACTGTAGCAGTGAGTTGGATAAAAAGAGAAATAGTACATGATGAAATTGTCAATTATGAACATTGTTAGTACTTTTCCTAGCACACCTTGACTGGCACCAGATAGCAGTTCATAATCCTAATTTTATTTGCCTTTAAAAACGTTGTATACTGATTTCTGCAGTATGTACTGAAACCCGGTAAAAAAGGCCAGTCACTTCTGATCAGTTGAGAAAATTCTTGCAATGATAGATGTAAAAGATGGTTTTCAAAAAGAATTGCATTACTTAGTGTTGCCTGAGCCTTGCTAATCACTCCTGCTTGCTAATAAGGACTTGAGCTATAAAAATATGGGCAACCACTAGAGGACAGTAAAGAGAGAAAGAAAACTTTGCTTGCTGCCATCTGGTGACTACTGAGATATCTGCCTAGATCTAAGAGCCCTAATTTAAGCACAGACTGAAAAGAGGAAGATAGCTAGAGGAAACAGAGGTTTTGAGCTAAATAGGGGAGTGTTCAAATTTTACTTTTACCTTATAAGGACACCAATTTCCTTCTTTGATTAGGTGAGCTTTGGAAGATGTAATCATTGCCTCACTCGAGTCACTGATGTAGGCCTAGAAGTCACAAGAAGGTCAAGCCTTCAGCAACCTCCCTCTGTACTCAGAGATTTCTAGGATCTAAATTAGCTTTCCTTAAGCTTTTATCTTCCAGAAGTCTTGGATTACAACTCCCATCATTCCCAACCCTCATGGCTGGAAACTGGTATCGGTTTCCAAGCATATTTACAGGTCAACAAGTACATTCATGTTCTCGGTTTCTAATTCTGACATAAATAGCAGATAATTCATGATATGAAGAAGGAAGATTATGTCAAGATTGCCACATTCAATATTGTGTCTCATATGCCTTATACTACTTGCTCAGGTTTCACAACCTGTGGAGCAGCATGAAGAAATGGTGCATCCCTGCAATAATTTTTGTTTCCAGTTTCAATTTTCCATTCCAAGAAGAAAACAAAAATCAATACCATTATCACTTAGTAATATGACATTTTTTCAGAATGGCTGCAACTAATCTATTAGGACTGTAAATCAGCATCAACCGACTTTAACCAACTGATAAAAGGGGAAAAAACAGCCCACAGTATTGTGTGTAAAATGTGTAAGATGGTAAATCAAATAGTGACACCAACTAATCATGGAAAAGATCAAGTTAACTACTACTATTATATCTCACCAAAAATACTGATATTTGCATAGAAATGGGACTAGCCCTAAAGCTGAGGCACACTGCTCTTGCCCCACATCATGTGCAGCATCTTCCTTTCAGATGCTAAGCATGAGTGATGGCATGGACTAGTATAAGAATTACTGGGGATTCCCTGAAGAAGTCTCATGTCTAACTAACATAGTAAGATAACATGTATTTGTCTAAGACACAATTTGCTGTTTCTCTTCACACAAATGCTTAACCTGTTAAATTAGCCAGGTGTGCTATATTTGTACAAGTAAAGTTAGTTCAGGAGCCTACAACTAAAATACTTTTTTTCTTTTTGGAACAGACGTTGGACATCTATGACGCAAGTAGTCCTTGCCTTACAACCATGTGTAAAGATTACAACAGCGCTGGGAGAATTGACTTATGACCAGTCCTCATATTTATGACTTCTGCATCATCCCTGCAATCATGTGATCAATAATCTGGATGCTTGGCAACCAGTTCACATTTAAAGACGAATGCAGCAGCCTAGTCACTTGATCACTATTTGTGACCTTTCCAGCTAGCTTCCAACAAGCGTCAGTGGGGAAGCCAGTGGGAAGTTGCAAGTGGCAGTCACATGATAGCTTGCATAACAACCAGGTGATTCACTTAACCACAGCAGTGATTATGCGAGCCTCATTTAAAAACTGCACTACTTGATGAATTTTCTGGTTATTATTGTTGCTGTAAGTTGAGGACTACCTGTAATCTGATACTGTTGATCTATAGGTCACACGAATCCCCGTGTGACCATAAAAATTTGGACCTGGCAATATTCAGTCATAGAAACATAAGAACTGATCAAGAATATATTCAATAACAGTGCTGCAATAAAAAATATATACATCGATATTATGCATTTGATTTAAGGCATATTGATTTTCTAATCTGCATAGTACAGCAAAGGATAATTTCCTTTTTCACTCTGAAGCTCCATTTGAAGCTCCATATGATTAAAGCACCAATAGTGTGATTTGTTCTTCTGCTAGCAGTAAGGGGATTATCTAGAATCTAAAAAATCTAAAATCTTATTCTTCCTTGAAAATGAAGTTATGGCTCTCCTTCAGATTCATTCAAGGGTGGTTTGTGGAATTTACCCGTTTTTTTTTACTACTTCTGTGAATTAGAACCGGTGGGGAAAAAACTATCAATTCTGAGCACCGAATTTATTCTGAGTAAATAAACTGAACAATTCTCCCACAGACCTACTTAACATCTCTCCCCCGCCCCCCAGTACATCTTTATTTTAATTCTTCGTTTTGATTCAGTTTAATTTTTCTAATGCAATTTAGGCAGAGACAGGTTGTTGTTATTAAGAAGCAGTGGAAAGATAAAAATCCAATTTGGTAAACACAATGAAAACTCTAAGATTTCATTTGTTCATTCTTGGATTTTCTGAAGTCTTAAAAATCAGAACATTGCAAAACAGTTTGCTTGTAATTGAGCCTTTACCAATAGCTTCACAAGCTAACTGAAAAGTATATTCCACTCTGTTTTGTGGAGCTGACTGCTCAGTTATCTGTAAAAGTTGATTTCTAGTTGACTTACAGAATAATACCCAACAGGATGGGGGTTAGGCTGATAAAAGGAAGTTGAATTCTCAGAGGCGAAATCAATTTAGAATAGGAAGTTCAGCTTTCTCCCAATAGGGTCTTACTACTTTCTCTCTCCTTCCACAGGTTCAGAATTTCGTTTCAGTATCCCACAAACTTCTGATTAATACCAAACCCACTCCAGTGAAAAACACAACTGTAGTATGATTAAAAACATTATTTCTCTATATAACTAGAGGCATCCCAAAATGCTAAATTACAACCTGCCATAAAGTTACCAACCCAGAGTTAATGTACCGCATCTTTCATTCTTAGCTAGGTCATCCATACACTATGGCAGAGGTCCCCAAATTTGGCAACTTTAAGAATTCTGGGAGTTGAAGTCCACAAGTCTTAAAGTTGCCAAGTTTGGGAACCTCTGCACTATGGAGACAAAATGGGCATCACATCTTCCAAACGTTTACAAGTGCAAGGAGTACAGTATTTGCAGTCCGGTGGTTGGGGCTGAGGGTTAGAGGATGCTTCCACTCTGCATCCCGTTGCCCCTGCATTAAGCAGAGAAGATCAGCTAGGCTTCTCACATACACTTCCAGTTGACCCAAAGGTGCTTTTTCATGAGCCAACTGGACTTTCTACACACTTCCAGTTGATATTTATACTAATGTTATCCACTGGGCTCCTCCAACACGAAGGCCCCGTTCAATATTATTAAGCAAAGCATCAGCCGGCACAGTGTAGACCAGATCAAAGTTCGTGACTAAGGAGGCAGCCCCCAAAATCGATTTTAAAGTAAAGGAACCCGGTCTTACCCAATGTCCCTTTTTCCTTAAGGGATTTTGATCCCCAAACCCTCCGCACGTTTTGGCTGTCGACCGGATTCATCTTCAGCTTAGCCTGGATAACCAAAAGCGGGCGAGAGAGGAGCAACAGGGGCGCCTACTTCCACGTGTGCAGAGAAAAGCGCAATCGTCGCGTTTGTAACGGGCGCCAGAAATGAAACTCAGCCTTCCCTGCCCCAATCATTGGTCCGGGCCACGTTACCGGCTGCTTTCAAATCTGACGACAGCTACTTCTTCATTTGTTAAACGAAACAGGAAGCTTTTCTCTGGGGGCTGCGCGCAGCTCTTGTTGTTGGTCCCATGTAATGAAAACGGATTAGTGCGTTTCCCCGCGGTTGATTTTTGGAAGCGTTTCTCTTTTGCAAGCAATACACGCCAGTCCCGAGAACTTTTATTCACGAGCAGATTTCACGCGAGAACGAAGAGTTGGAAGTTGCTGCTTTACGGAACTGTAGGTACGTATTTTTATATCGTATGAATGAACACGAGTTTATGTCATGGTTATTACGATGGCTGGTCGCAGAGTCAGCCAGATGTTTACACCGGATTTGGCATTGTTTGTCCATCTAGCGAGGCTTTCCCAAGGACCCGAGATAGGCAGATGTTAATAATATTGAAGTTGTCGTGGTAGGATGCAAACTGATCCAAGAAAGCTGCCTTTTACAATTGAGTGATTGCAAAAGATTTTGTCAATGCCTGGGGTGTTCATGTCAAGCCGCTGTTACTATTAGTACTTTTGGTTTTTTGCACCAGTCGGTCTACTTCTGCTTGCAGGTGTTTGCATTTTGTGGTTTTTTTCCTGTTCTTTCTCTTCTCTTCTGATGCCTACACTACTCAGTTGTTTTGTCTGTCTTATCCAGTTGTTAAGCCTTGAGCGTTGTGTGGCAGGTATTTGTCTGTTTGAACTGTAAAATCCCAGAGTGTTTTAACCTCTTCATTTTCTATTACTTCGTCTGTTTTGTGGGCCTACCAATTCTTGTTTCCAGGCAAGTGATTATTTCCTACAAATAGGCCTGTGCAACATAATTGTGTCATGACATTTGTTTCTAATCACTGTGTGCGATCTTTTTTTTTCTTCTGCAGCAGCTAATTATGTGATCAGCTTCTTTGCTTTTGCTGTTCGGGTGCTGTTTTCTTAACTCTGATTTTGTATGCATTTGTTCTCCCAACTTGGTCTTGTGTGGTCAAAATTAGCCCCTGTATTATTATGGTTCTTATTTTTATCCCATCTTTGTATGAATTTATTTGGTCATCTCAAATCAGCACAATATGTTTTCCCCACAACCACCTTGTGAGTTGGGTTGGGCTGAAAGAAAGCTGCCTTTCATGCCTAAAAGGGAGGCTTAAAACTAGATCAGCATCTTAATCACGACAGCAAATTGGTGCTGTCTTTTTTATTACTATCTCTCTATAAAAATGGAAGAAATCTGTTTCATGTGTTTTAAGACTACATGTACAAAATCCTTTGTCCGTATGTTTCTTCCCCATTTCCCAGACATTTTTCACAAAAGTTGATCTTTCTTAGTAGCAAGTTGAAAATACATACAGTACTTTCTTACAAACTTTTGACATACAGTAGAAAGGCATAATATTGAAAGGGGTGGGAGGGAATCTTGTATATGCTTCCATAGGTAAATATCACAGACTCACTGGCTTAAATTAAAACAACATGCAAAGCCTCAATATGGCTTGTGGCTTTAATGCATTGTGAAAGTATGATTTGAAAATTATGTTTTAACATCTTGTATAAACCTGGAAAACTATTAATTTGCCAGATTTATAGGACATTTTTTAAAAAAAAATAGGAGCTGGGGAGGGATTTTAATATTCCAACAAGCTCGTGGGGTAGATTGATCTGAGTCATCTAATGAACCTTTATGATTGTTGGTCGATTGAAATCAGGTCTAGTAACTAATATATAACTCTAGAAATGTAATAAAGTTTTATTTGGTAACCATGATTACATAAATGAATGAGGCCTGAATGAATGTGTACAATGTGCTATACATTTGTGTACTATTTCACTTGTAAAAAAATAGAAATAAATGTTCATCAAACACATTCTTTGGGCATGCAGTAAGAGCTTATATTAATTTCAGTTAATTAGTGCTATTAATTCATTTAGGCTAATTAAGCCCTAATGTGCAAATAAGGTCACAAAACATTTTCACATGACTCCGAGATACTGCAACTGTCATAAATACATGCCAGTTGCCAAGCATCCAAATTTTGATCCTGTGATCATGGGGATGCTGAAGTGGTCATAAGTGTGAACAATGTCACATATCAGTGCTATTGTAACTATCACTAAATAAATGATTGCAAGTCAAGGACTATATGGGCAAATCCAGTCTTTTGGGAAGAGTGCTTGTGTTTATTCCTATACTAACGAAAGTTGTTGAATCTATGGAATCACATGCATGAGTGACCGCCATAAATGTGGCTTTTTTATAGGTGGTCCACAACATACAACCATTTGAAGTTACCATGGCACTGAAAAATGTGACTTACAACCAGTTCTCACCTTTACATTCCTCACAGCATTCCTACTGTTGCATGATTAAAATTCAGGCAATTGTCAACCAGCCTGTATTTATGAGAATTGCAGATTACATAACCCAGAGTTGCTGGGTTCTGTAAACACCATTTATGATCTTCCCAGCTGGCTTAAAGGGGAGGATGCCAGATTCATTTAATGACCACATTAATGACTTAACCATGGCAAGAAGAGTTCTAACATCGGATGAGATACACTTAACAACCACCTTGCTTAGCAACAAGCAATTGGCCCCAATTGTGGTTATATTTGAAGACTACCCGTATACATCAATCAATGTTATGTGTTTAGGTGCCATGGCAATACACATGAAATATTTCATGAAGTATTGGAATGTGTATTGGAATGCAGCACAATCCAGGTTTTCTATACTTCCTGCTTCAATTTAGCTGATGTTGTGCAATTGTGGTTGGTGCTCTGGAGGCCTTAAAAATTTTAAATCCTGTGGACCACTAATATGATTTCTTTAAAAAGATAAATAGGATTTAGTGCAATATCAAAAATGCAAATAATTTTTCTGCAGACCATCCTGCTAGGTTTAATTATTGCTTTAAAAACAACTTGTGGTTTCATATCCCATTAGGACATGTGGCAAATGCCATAGTAAAATACAGACGTGAAGTCTTCCACGAATGAAGTCTTCCATCTGATTTCTGAAACCTTCCAGTCAAAGCATAGCTGTTAAAGAGAAGTTGAAGAACTTATACCAATTAAAAATAGATGATATAAAAATAGACCAGCTGTTCCCATTGCAGATGACAGGAACTCATTGTGAGGGACGACTCACACCCTGGATGGCACTTCATTACCCTACTACAGTCAGGAAGGAAATATAGAAGCATAGCCAGTCCCACAACAGGCTGAAAAACAGTTTCTATGGGCTGTCAGACTCCTGAATACAAAGTAACATCATAACTACATAATACGATGGAGTTGCAGGGCAGGCACAACATGTAACATGTTCACACTGGTGCAATAGGATTGGGGGTTAGTTAATATGATTTATTGGGTTAGGGATTTTCTGTCTTCACCGTGAGTTGTATTGTGTTGGGGGGGGGTGCACTGAGGGAGCTCAACCAATCTTATTGTACTTATGTTGTGCACTGACAAATAAATAATTCTTTTTAAAAAAGATGCTCTTTATTTTAAGAATTAAAATTCCTGAATTTCCCGAACCAACATGGTGATTCCTAAAAATGCTGGAAGCTGAAATCCATCCAGCTGGGTAAATTTAAGATCTGACCCAGTATGAGACAGTTTTGGATGGTCATTAACTCAGCAACCACATCACATTAGCTTGATCATGGCCACAGATTACTGTTAATAACCACCCAAAGACAACATATGTTTGCATGCAATATATTCATTCGGATGTAAAAAATAACTCCAGTTCTCTGAGCTGGCAGTTGAATAGGAAAAAAAATGGAGTGAAGCCAATCATAACCTGGAAAAGCTATCATATTTTGGTCACATTTTAGCGGTCAGAAATCTCTCTTCTGGGACTTGTAAAAGATCAAATTATTTTATGTGATATAATCATGAGTTGCAACTTCATTTAATACACGCCTTTGCTTTGTGTTGGTGAAGGACCAAATTCCCAGAAGGCATTAGAAATTTGATTATTCTCCCAGGGATAGAATGGGAGCAAGTCCCCATAATATTTGGATTTGCTTGGTAGTTCTTCTTTTCTGGACACACATCTTTTTTGTACTCTTGATTTATTGTTGTAGCTTTTTATAATATAAAGTATTAAAAATTGTTGGAACTTGGATCTTTTAAAAAATCTATATAAATAAAAATCAGGATTTTTGAACCAAAGGTATGGCTGTGCTATGAAGGTGAATTTAAAAGCATATATAGACATAATAAAGGCAATTACGTATAGGAAATTATATAGCAGAGTTCCCAAATGTTTCCAGCTTTTGGGTGGGGGTTGTGTGGTTCCACACAAGCAGCCAGCAAGTGCGCATGCATGTAGCTCCATTTGCGTGACACTGCACACTTGCACTTACCACTCCCTCAAATGGAGCACACGGACATCGTTCGCCCACTGCACAAGTGAGGATGTGCATGCATGCGCCCCTCCCCAGCCATTTCCATGGCCAGTTACAATCCCCTCACGGCCCACAAATTGGGGACCCCTGCTATATAGAACAAAACCCACAAAGTAACCCAGATGGAAAGATAAAATGCCACAAACTATTCAGCAAACATTCTTCTTGAATACTGACAGAACATAGAAGTAGCACAGGACACTGTTACTGTACTTTGTATTACTTTTGAGCAATCTGAGACTTTGGAAATTTATATGGAAATATTTCAGACAGTGAGATGGGCATTTCCCACACTGGCGATTCAAAACTATTAACCATCACTTTTGTGTGTATGTTGTTTGTTACAATTAAATATGATTAAATGCCACTGGGCAAAGAATACTGCACTGTGTGGATTTTACGTCCAGATGGTCTGTTTTTCAAGTTTATCATCAAGACCTTTTTTTTTTTGCAAACAAATTTTATTTACAAAAGTAGATGTACTAATTTGCACTGGCATGTCAGCCATCCAACAATATATAAACCTCTCTTGATCGCTCTGAAAACATAAAAAGGGAATGGAAAAATGTGTTAGATGTAACTTGAAAGCAAAGCTGTATCTTTGCTATGTATCTTTCATTCTATGTCAGATACCATATTGGTACTGTGTTTGGTGACTCAGATAAGTCGGTCTTGTGTAATTGCTTTCACAAAGTCATTGCCTGTGGATTTCCCAGCAAAAGAGGGGCGAGCCTCAGCAGTGCACGAACTGGCATCTTCAGTGGTTTGAATTTCAAGAGGAGCTCAGAAAAGCTTGTACTACCTAGAAAATATTTTGAGAGAAATGCTGTGTTTTAGAATCAAA